ATCCGCGGTTGTGCGCGCACTTGTTTGCACATAAGCAAAGGTGTTTTTTTAGGAGTCTAACTTGCAAACGCCAGACCACTGATTCGTCAAACCTGCTTTCCTGCAGTCTGTGTTCTTCTGACTATTTTGTAGTAAGTAACGAATATGCTTCGGGGAACTGTATCAGAGTAAAAGTATACATTTTAAATAGGAAATGTAGTGTAGTAAAAGTAAAAGTTGGCTGAAATATAAAAACTCAAGTAAAGTACAGATACTCCCAAAAAATACTTAAGTACTGTAACGAAGTATTATAACTTTGTTACATTACACCACTGCAATTTAACAACTCAGTCACTTGTTGTATATACTTTATGGGGGGGCTATTTGGGCTAGGAGTGGGGTACACATAGCCGGACTATATCGGGTCTATACAATGAAAAACGGGCTTCAATTTAGAGACATGAAAACGGAATGAATTCTCCGGTACGCCGGAGGAAGTTTGAGGCGGACTGCCACTGGGCTAAGAATCTTAGTGACAGTAAATGGGCCAATACATTTTGGGGCTAGTTTATTACAAACGGAGCGGAGAGGAATATTCTTGGAAGAAAGCCACACTTTTTGACCAACGACGTAGACGGGAGGCTTCGACCGGTGGCGATCGGCCTGAGCCTTAGTGCGCGCTCCCACCCGGAGGAGAGTCTCACGGGCTCTTCTCCAAGTGTGACGGCACCTCTGGACGAAGGCGTGAGCAGAGGGGACCGCGACTTAAGATTCCAGACTATGAAAAATGGGTGGCTGGTAACCTAAACTACACTCAAATGGCGAGAGGCCCGTAGACGACACTGGTAACGAGTTATGAGCGTACTCAACCCATGAGAGTTGCTGGCTCCAGGAGGAGGGATTCTGTGCCACCAAACATCGCAACACTCTCTCAAGGTCCTGGTTGGCTCGCTCAGCTTGGCCGTTGCTCTGAGGATGAAAACCAGAGGACAGACTGACACTCGCCCCCATTAAATGACAAAACTCTTTCCAAAATTTGGAAACAAATTGGGGTCCCCTGTCGGAGACCACGTCTATCGGGAGGCCATGAATGCGAAAGACGTGATCAACAACAGTAACCGCTGTCTCCTTGGCAGAGGGCAATTTGGGAAAGGGAATAGTACGATTCACTCCTGGATGACAAGCCCCGTTGGAACAATGACCCCACCGAATAACGTCGGACCGTAATCTCTCTGGCACAAATAACCGACTCGGTGGGCACCCGGGCGGAGACGTTACCCCTTCTAAGGCCGCATAAACCTTCGACTCGACCTCCCATGTGAGTGTAGAGACAACGAGTCTCTCAGGTATGATACACTCGGGAGTAGACGGGCGCTCGGAAAAATCAAATATTCGAGATAAGGCGTCAGGTTTGATGTTCTTGGAACCCGGACAGTAGGAAAGAGAAAAGTCAAAACGACCGAAAAAAAGTGCCCACCGAGCCTGCCTAGAATTAAGACGTTTAGCGGATCTAATATTAAAGGGTACCCCCGAACCCTCTAACCAATGACGCCATTCCTACAAAGCTAACTTGACTGCCAGCAACTCTGTTACCAATGTCGTAATTACATTCAGCGGAAGACAAACAATGAGAAAAAAAAAAATGCGCAAGGGTGCATCTTGTCGTCCGAGGAAGAGCGCTGGGAAAGAACCGCACCTGCCCCCACCTCTGACGCATCGACCTCCACCACAAACTGACGTGTGGGATCAGGGGCTATGAGAATGGGAGCTGAAACAAAGCAGCTCTTGAGGTTGGCAAATGCAGTTTCAGCTGCACTGGACTACCTGAATGCAGTTGTGGTGGAGGTCAAGGCAGTCAGAGGAGTGGCTAGTTGGCTGAAATTGCAAATAAAACGCCGGTAGAAATTGGCGAACCCCAGAATCCTCTGCAGGTCCTTACGGGAATCTGGGTTTGGCCAATCCACTACAGCCTTAACCTTATCGGGATCCATGCGCATTCCCTCGGACGAGACAATGTATCCCAAAAATGGAACTAACTGTGCATGGAATGCGCATTTCTCCGCCTTGACAAAAAGCCCATTCTCGAGCAGCCTCTGGAGCACCCGCCTGACGTGCTGAACATGTTCCTGGAGAGAAGAAGAAAATATCAATATGTCGTCCAGGTAGACATATATGAATTGATCGACCATGTCTCTCAGCACGTCATTAACGAGTGCTTGGAAAATCGCGGGGGAGTTGGACAGCCCGAAGGGCATAACCAGATATTCAAAGTGCCCCCTGGGGGTATTAAACGCAGTTTTCCACTCATCCCCCTCCCTTATGCGGACCAAATGATAAGCGTTACGCAAATCCAATTTGGTGAAGATGGATGCTCCCTGCAACCGCTCGAAGGCTGAAGACATCAATGGCAAAGGATAAGTATTCTTTACCGTGATGTTGTTCAACCCTCGGTAATCAATGCAAGGTCGCAGGGAACCATCCTTCTTCCCTACGAAAAAAAACCCTGCCCCCGCGGGAGAAGAGGAGGAACGAATGAGCCCGGCTGCTAGAGAATCAGAAATGTATTTCTCCATGGCCTCCCTTTCTGGAGCAGAAAGCGAGTATAACCTGCCCTTAGGCGGAGACGTACCTGGTACTAAATCTATAGCACAGTCATAGGGACGATGTGGAGGAAGAGAAGCAGCCCGGGACTTACTGAACACTTCCTTCAGGTCGAGGTACTCCTTGGGCACGTTAGACAGGCTCACCAGCTCATTCTGCAACAAAGAACAATATAACAATTTATTAGGAAAGGTCCCAACCAGACAAAAGGCAAGAGTCAAATAAAGCATGTGTAGGATATAGTCACTCTTGGTAGCGCAGGGACGCAAATGGGCACCCGTGGATATCCCGGGAACATACGATCCGTGGGCAAATACTGGAACCGAAATCCAATGAGACGAAGGAGAGGAACAGGGAACTTGAACACAGCGGGAACACCAAACGATCTGACAACACAGGACGGATAGCACAGGTGTTATATAGCTGAGCTGATGAGCTACAGCTGGCGCAGATCAACAATCAGCAGCAATCACCGACACACCCACTCACACACACATACACACAGAGCGAAAATGAGTCAGTGAACCCATGAACCGTG